TATAAATACACTGTAAACCACGGCTTCACGGGGCTTATTGCTTTAATCAACAACAACAAAAAATGTAATTAACTGAAATCATGAAACGTATAAAAAAAATGTAACAAAGATTACATTTTTAGGCCTCTATGAAATCCATTTTCTTTCTTTGATTTTTTTTATGTTTTCATTTTTCTGGACTACGTTTTAATCGTTGATTTAAATTCGAGTCATCAAATATCATGTGTGATTAATTGAAATCATGAAAATTACACAATTTAACAACAATGTATTAACACTTTTAGGGCCCTATGAAATCCATTTTTCCCCTATTTCCTTTAAATTCTGTGATTTTTGCTTTATTTTTTCAGAATAATTAGTGGTCTAATTAAATTATAATATTCAAAAAGCATGCCTAATCAACCAAATTCAAATAATTTTAACCAATTTTTCACTTTTTTCCCCCCAGAAATTCTGTGTTGTCTGTTTTCATTTTAATACAAATTAATTACCAAAAACAGTAGTAATCAAATTAAGGCATAAAATATTGACAATTTAATTAATCTTTTAAAATGTAATAAAATCTAATTTAATACAAATTTATTTAATTTAAAAACACTTCTTCAATAACAGGTTTATTATTATAATTAAAACATGTAAATTGAGATATTTCCTTTAAAAACACAAATGTTTAATAGCTGTATTATTGTTATTGTTATAGTAATAATCATGCATGTTTTCTGCATCGGTTACACCTGTGTGTTTTACCTGCAGTGGGATGATTTTATCGACTGCAGAAGTGAGATTCACAACAAATACATGGTCTCTAAACAGAAGAAAAACACAAGAAAAAGTCACAATGTCTTCATGATTTCATGACTTCTCCATCTGTTTCCAGTTCTTTTATACATGTGGCAAAATACATCAATGTCTAACAGAATGACATTTCTTTAAAACCCATCCAATCCAGGCATGTGGTTTGGTGAACAGACTGATCTTCAGTGACCTGGCAGCGATGTACAGCATATGCTGGATCCGGATCATCCGCTGATAGTCCAGACCCAGACGCTCCGTGCCATTATTAAACATCAGACCCTGAAAACTGGGATACTGGTGCGAGTCTGTGGAGCACAAGAAACAGAGCAGATAAAACCAGCATTTACAAACAGCAAGCAGATTTATGTGATGCTCTGAACAGAACGTTAGTTGTTTATAGGTCAAGACTGGAATCAACTGAAACTAAAACTAAAACCATTAAATATAAAAACACTAGAGATGCACCGATTTATATTAAATATAACTCCAATTTAAACTGAAACAAAAATGAATAAAAACTATATAAACAAAAAAAACTTGAAAGAAAAAGAAAACTAAAACTAAATCAAAATATAAAAAAAAAAAAACTATAATAGAATCTCAATTTTGCTAAAATAACACGGGCTGGAATACACTACATGACTTTTAAAATATGAACAGATTTTAAAACACCAGGCATCACTTGCGGACAACACTTTCAAACAACTAAAGTAAAATAAAAAATTATTATTATTATTATTATTTTTAAGATCAATGGGTTTGAATGAGTTGTAACATTTTGGTCAAGTTTTGCATAATATGCCTTCAAAAGCCATTAAAACAAAAATCTATTGATAAGGAGGACAGAATGTGATCAGTGATTGGGGACGACTTGAAGCAGCGCTGCGCTGACCGATGACATCAAAGTACTGCGAGCGCGATTCGAAAGCATACGGAGCGTCTGCTCTCTATAGCTTTTGCAGTACTTTGATGTCATGCACCGACCGCTTGAAGTCCAACACACCCACTCACTGAGATCCCGTCAGTCATGTGACTCACCTTCCAGACGCAGGACACTGATTGGCTGCAGATCGCTGGGGAAGGGCGTGGCAGTAGCGATGACTGGGAGGAGCCAGGCTAAAGAGACCATCGCCATGACGACAGAGTAACGCCATGTCCTGTCAGTCATCTGCACAGGAAATAAAAGATACAGACAAATGACATCACTGAGATGATATTTACGAGTTATTGTGAGTTTGAGTTTGTAGTCTGGCTGATGGGATTTTAAGATGTTTCTCATTGGATGCTGATTAAAATCTAGTATTTATTTTTATGATTGGTTTAAATATATTTGCTCATTATTAGCAAATGGTTTAAAAAATGCCTATATTTGAACAATTTAAAACTGACATTAGAATGTCTTTGGAAACAATTTATTAAAAGCAATAAGAACTATGCAACTGTTTTAAATGTACAATTTTCTTTCCATATACCAATATTGGACAATATTATGGATGGAGGACTCATATTTTAGCTGGAAGCAACATCTTAATGATGGATTTGTTTCTTACAAACTAGGGATGGGTCACGATTTTCGTATATTCGATTAGTTGATTTAATTATAGAATATCCAATAGGTTGTGCGATTATTGTCTTAAAAAATGTCCCTATGTTTCCCGTGCTGATGCGGTGGTGACGCGTTCATGTAAAAGCTGTCAAAGACAACAGAAGAACACATGGTCTCACGCGCACACTGTAGACTTGCGTGGCATAAAAAAATACTTGCTAGTGCTGGGCGGTATGACCAAAAATTGATATCACGGTATTTTTCAAAAAAATACCGTCATGTATCGTGAAA